CGGCAGCTGCGGAGGAGTGCTGTGACGGGCTGGAGCAAGACAATGGGGAGGAGCGGCTCTGTGTGTCATCCTCATCCTGCGCCATCACTGCCAATCGGCCCGGCCTCCCTTTCCTGTCTAACTCTTCTTCACGTGTCATCATCCTCCTGGCTTTCCTCTGCTCCTCGACGGTCCACATGCTCTCGTCTTCATCCTCCTTCCCTTGCACCTCCCTATCAAAGTCCAGTAGCTCCTCCATCATCTCCTCTATCTCCAGCTCACCGTCCAGTTCCTCCTCCACCTCGGACCGCAGCTCTCCCATGCTTTCAGTCCTGTTGGTGTCGTCGGTCTCCTCGTCTTCACCGATGACTTTCAGCCTTTCAGGGGGCTCGCTGGCCTGACTCTCACCGAACTCCAGGATGGTGGGCAGGTTGCCCTGCTTTGGACAGCGCTTCCTTAGGCTGACCAGGAAAGGCTGAGGCAGGGAGAAGATGTCCACATTGTTTCCCAGGTCGATCCATGTCACACTTGGGAAACTATTAGGATCCTAGGGAAGAAAAACATCTGCTTGTCACGGTTCTTCTCAGTGTAAAATGCAATCACTACAGTGACTACTTTGTGACATTGCCTCATCATGCAATCCCCACTTCATGTTTTGAAAAACAGTGGGTGAGAAAAGTTAGGGCAGAACTCCACCCACTGCAAGTGCCAATGCTTACACGGTTGAGTAGAAATGTTGGCATGCTTCTCAAATAAGCATATACATACAAAATAAAATGTATACTGTGAAATTGTTACCATGTGCAACAGCAACAGGTTAGACACCAAAGCAGTTAGGAGTTAGGATTTAATCTCTCTCTCTCTCTCTCCCTCTGCCTCTCTCTCCCTCTCTCTCTCTCTCTCTCCCCCCCCTCTCTCTCCATCTCTCTCTCTCTCCTCCCCTCTCTCTCTCTCTCCCCCCTCTCTCTCCCTCTCTCTCTCCCTCCTTCTCTCTCTCCCTCCCTCTCTCTTCCCCCCTGTCTCTCTCCCTCTCTCTCCCTCCCTATCTCTCTCTATCTCTTTCTCCCTCTCTCTCTTGTTGAGGAGGAGTCCTCAACACTCTCTCTCCACTGTGAGGCTGACGTGCTAACCAGTCAACCACCGGGGTGCCCATATATACTGTATTTTGAGAGAGCCTGGTGGTGGACTGGTTAGCACGTCGACCTCACAGTGCGGAAGTGCAGGGTTCAATTCTGGCTCCGGCCTTCCTGTGTGGAGTTTGCATGTTCTCCCCATGCCTGCGTGGGTTTTCTCTGGGTACTTTCGGATTCTTCCCACATTTCAAAAACACGCGTGACAGGTTCATGGAACACTAATTTGTCTTTAGGCGAAAGTGCAGATGGTTGTTTCTTCTATGTGTGCCCTGCCATTGGCTGGCGACCAGTTTTATCATCACCTTCCAAGACAGATCGCTAAAGTAATTCTGGTACAAACACTCACAGGAATTTCATGTTAATACTCTTTTAAGAGACAAAATGATAACACGGAAGAAACCTTTAAGGCATCTGTCAGCTCCTTCAGAATAGTCCTGGTCAGGCGGTTTCCGTTCATTGCCAGCGTCTCCAGGTGAGGTAGGGCAGCCAGGGTGGGCAGGAGCAGGAGGAAGGCTTCATCAGTCAGCTCAGTGAAGCCCAGCTCCAAGCTTACTACTGCGGAAGCGTGGTGCAGGAGGTGTGCACATAGACGTTCCATGTCGCGAGCTACCAGAGGGATACCGGACAGATCCAGCGCCCCGCTGGATGGAGGTGTGGACAGCACCGCCTTCAAACTACAACCAGACAAATGATATGACATCACAGTGATGAATTACACCCTACTCTCATGATGTAATCCTGAACAGATGTCCTTATTGACACTTTGTGGATCTCAAAGAATTACATGACTGCAACTCCATATGCTATGACTTCCACATTAATGTTTTATCAGTTAAACAAGATAACCAAAATATTACTCGGTGTCATACACCACTGCCAACTAAAATCATAATCATGCAAGATGTTGAAGTAAAATCTCTCTGGCATCGTTATTCAAAACTAACCACTATTATCTTTGGACTTTACTTCAGCTGAGTGTACAGGTGTCCTTAATGAAGTGTCCAACGAGTGCAAAACAATCGCCGGTCAGTACACACAAACTGGACAACTCCTGATGAGATAAACCATACTTAGGGCAAGCTTTGATCCTCAGTTGCTCACGGAAACAGAACACTTGTAAATCAGAAATATGGCAGCTGAGGGGAATGCAGACAGTTTGACACTAAGGGGATTTAGAGCTTAAGACACTGAAGTTTGCAGATGAAAAATTGCTTTTGAGTAGCACTTAAAGCTGTAGTCTCTGAGTGCATGGTTTGGCCTATAAATAAACCCACTGGAACAAATAGATCTGGCAAAGAATTAAGTGAGCTGGGCACAAAGGGCTGATCTACTGGTTTGCTCAATGAAGAGGTCAGTGCCGAACACTTCACTTTGCTTGGCTTGCAAAACCATGTATATAACCATATATATTATTCATGCAAATCATCTTAGGTTTTAGCTTAACCTTGACCCTAATCAGCACAGGCGCTGTATGGATGTAGGGATTTTATTTTTTTAGATTACATTTTTTGGAGCCCGAGACTCTACACGGAGACGATAAGCTTAGCGATGAAGCTGCGGACGCTCGACATGCATACACCCCACACGATAACAACGCGCAAACCACCCTCCCTGATGTCACTGCCTTCGTTGGGTTTCTATTCGCTCTGCGCTCATGACGTAACTTGACTGACAGAGCGCTTGAACGGTCTGAGTTGCCCGTCAGACTGGGTGCGTTGCGCCCCCTCCCCTCCTTCCACCCTACCCGTTCACGAGATGTAAAGTCTTGAGATTTGTTGTACATGTCTTGTACATGTGCTGAGGCTTTTTTTTTCTCAGGTCAAACTATGTTCCCATTCAAGGAGAAGGGTTGGAGTCTGTCGTTCCCCCCCACCCCGCCTCCTCTCCTCTTGCTTAATGTTTTCCTTACACCTGTAAGGTATTGGGGCGCTAAACAGCGAACTGACAGGCTTCTCATTCTGTTTCCCTTTGCTCATTATTTTGTTTATTTTCCTCTGGACGGGTTGTATTTGGGAAAGTAAATCCTTTGTGTGTTTTACATACTTGGACAATGAATCTGATTCACATTCAGAATGTATGCGGGCCAATGCCGCTTACTTGATGTCATGAGAAGTGAAGCCGCCACCTAAGGTTGCCACCCGTAAAGTAAAATACGGAATCATCCTTTGTGAATTAAATGTTGTGCCCCATATTGAACCAATGAAAGACGATGTTTGTCCCATATTTTCCTCATTATCTCATGCATCTGTCAGACACAAACGCGAATACTGAATTTAACATCCATCCATCCATTTTCTAATCCGCTTACAGTCACAAGGGTCATGGGCGCGATGGAGCCTATTTAACCAGTTTTGGTGACATGAGTTTGTCACCATTTAATTAGTTGTTCATCTATGTGTGCCCTGCGATTGGGTGGTAACCAGTTCAGGGTGTCCCCAGCCTACTGCC